GGCACTATTGCGCAATAATACATTCGTATGGCTAATTTTGCCCTCTGATTACCGCAATTAACGGAATAAACTAAATAATGCCTTTTTGTGGCTAATTATGGTCGAAAACTTATCTTTTAACGTCAGAAACAAATCTCATGGCTATTTTCCTTCTCTTATGCGAGAAACTTATGGAATGTGATACTTTTACTGCCTTGCGGCTAAACTGATTTTTTTATTAATTGTTAACAATGAGATTCGTTATTTTCACGAAGCTCGTGGCTAAATTTACTCGAAATGAACTAATTATATATTCTGACAGAGCTTATGGCTCAAATGATTGGAAACTGAGAAATATGCGACTTTTATCGCCAAAAATGATTTTACTTGAAAGCTTGTGGCTTTAACCACTGAAAATGTAATAATGATTAAACAATCAAAAGCTTGTGGCTCGAATGCTTCAAAATGAACTTAAATTGACAATTATTATGTCTTTTATGGCTGAAATGCCTTTTTAATCTATCTTATCATTCTTTATGGCCTTCTTATGGCTCTTTTACTTTAACTTATCTTTTTCTGAGGATCATGAGGAAAGTTATGGGTTTTAACAATCTGTGATTATGTCTTATCGGTTTTTATTCATTCTTTCACTCTTTCTCATGCATACTTATAATTGTGTAATATAATATGGTGCCCTAGCGGGACTTTACAACATAAAATAATCGAAATTTCTTATTTGATTAGATCATTATTAGATAAAGTATATTTTGTATCTCGCGCATTACAAATAAAATGAAGTAAAATAATAATATGAAGAATATAACGCAAATGATATAATCTGAATACAACATTTTGCCCGCGTTTAAACGTTATTATCGCTGTTTTGACCGAAAAGACGGACGGTTGCCTATCTTCAGGCGTCGTCTTGCCCCTCTCCTTGGCTGTCTTGACCGACTTGATCGCCTTCGGTGGGGCCGGTTGCGCGGTATTGCGCGCTGCTATCTCCTTCAAGAGGGCATTTGCCATCCTCAATCCGAAGTTCGTGTCATCACACCCGTTGCCTGACATCGCATTTGACGTGGGTGCTATCGGTGAAAATGGGTGAGGTGTCGGTGGTCGAGACAGCGCCGGGATGTCCTCTGCGCTGTCCATCGGAACGCACGACTTTTGTGCAGGAATAACAACCTCGAATGCATCCGGCTAAAACATAGTTACCGGTTGCAGGGTCAGGTTGTGACCGGAACTTATCCCGACGTCAATTATTACTGTGTGCCCTAATCGGATTCATCGCCAAAGCACCTCATCTGCGCAGGCCCGTTGAAGAAGTTTACCGAGATTCTAACGCTTTAACAAGACTTTACCGTATACCGCGTCTACCTTGTATGTGTTCCTCAGCATAGAATAATGGTCGCCACTTCGTTTAACCCGCCTACGAAGAAGGAAAGGTCTTCCGCGTCCACCACCAGAGATTCCACTGCCCCGGTGTTCCTTGAATGTGGTCCGCTGCCCTGAATTCTCGCCCCGGAATGTGGTGACACGACTCGTTGAGCGGAACGTAGCGGGATGATGTGTGGGCGCTTATCACAAATCACTCTGATTGCTTTTTCACAAATTTA